ATATATAAGTTATGAATAAAAAACATACCTGCATCGGGTGAAAAATCGGCCTGCTCCGTTCCCGAAAAGTCACGTGGTATGGCACCATTGTATTTGAAACATCATGATAATTCATTTTATTGATTGCATTTTTATGACCCCAAAGTGCGATCGCTTGTCTGATGTTAAAAAATGTATATGTACATGTTTAACGCACGTTGGGGTCAAAATTGGACCCTAAAGTGCGTAATGCACTCTGGGGTCGGACCCAAAGTACGTAACGCACTTTAGAAACGAACCCCAAAGTACGTTTGACTCCTACTGATCAAAGTGTGTTTTGTGTTGCTTAATCTGTGTAAAACCGCGTGTAACTCGATCAGTTATCTTCAATAAGATATCGGTAGCGACGTATTGTGTGTAAATGTCAGTGTAGTGGCTAAAAGTATATTATTAATCATACCTCGTACATGTATTTACAAACAGATGTTTACTTAAAATGTAACAGGGGCGGTTCGGCGCAATTTAAATATAACTGTCCGAGTCCCTGAGGGTCAAGTAATTAAGTTCGGGATTATTAAAAACCAAAATAGAACAGAATCACAATAATGCAATTCTCCATATTTACAATAAAGCATTTAGCAGCAGTCAGGATAAATACAAACCAACTTTAGAAATAAAGAACTTGACCACAAAACACTAATTTTCTACCAAATCTTCTTTACAATAACAAAGACACAATGCCTTTTCCCACCAAGAAATCACATGACATAAAAATAGCTTAAAATCAACAATCCGTGAACCATTTTTTTTTGGCTTGCCGCCACGGCTGCAAGCCATCTGTTTTGGAAAAGTTGTTCCGGTTAGGTGGTTTCCTGCTTACATTTGTTAGTAGTGCATGATTGAACGGGAAACCAGCTGCAATCGTGCCAAGCCATTTCCGTCACTCTTCGGATTAATGATAATAGCCGATGTAGTTCCGATTGCAATCGTGACAATTCGGGCGATTCCGTCATACTGCGGAATCAGGCGAAGTAATATTATGGAAATCTAAGCTATTTTAGTAACTTCGGTAATCCCAGTTTGTTTATATAAATAGGAATTCTATTTTTACTTGATTTATCGGTTTAAACCGATAAACGAATTGTTCCGTTTGAATTCTTTTTCAAGACGCAAAAGTTAGTTTCTTTTATAATTGTTTTTTGTCTGTATTAGTTTTATACAATAGAGAATGGTTACTGTAGTAGTATTCCATCTCCAAAGGGTGGCCCTGCTTACCAAATCACACATAATATTAGTGCATGATCGAGTTATATTTAGATCTACTGAACGCAATTCAACGTCTTGGTGAGGTAATCTAAAAATAGCCCATGCATATCATTAATCTTACCGTGTGCTGATCTACATATAGCGCATCGTGTAACATAGTTAATACATGCTTATTAATTAATTGGTACCACGTAACGAAGTATTTTAGTGCATTTACTTGTCTATAAAGATGCTATATAGCTATAACGAATGATTTCTCTGCGAAAAAAGTGGAAATGAAATGTGCACACTCGTTTCCCTTCAGTATGATAGATAGATCTCCACGTTAGTATTTTTACGATTGATTATTTTCTTTATTAGTTTTATACAATAGAGAATAGATTTTAAATCGTTTTGACTAAAAATATTCGTTTTTTTTTAAATAAATAAACCCTTTATGATATACAAATACCGTAATTCAAAAAAATTGTGATAATAAATTGAAACAAAAAAAAACAATTTTAAAGGGTTGGGATGAAGGCACAACTGAGCAAGCCTTTCCTTTTAAAAGGGCACTTTATTATTTCTTAGACTACTTACCAATGTACACATAAGATAAAATCAGTTAAAACCTATAGAGTAATCTCTCTTGAAAAGTATCAGACAAGACAGACGGATTTGTCTCCCTTTGCAAAATTATGAAATTCAACAGTAAAGCTTAGACCTGATCTTAAAAATAAGACTCTGTTACATAAACATATTTTATTTTAGCCCGAATGTGATGAAAGTTTATCTAGAGCTAATTTCGAAACGAGTTCATTAGAGTACTGATTTAATGTGAAGGAACATGGTAGTGACCTTCAAAAGGAGTCGAACTCACGATTCCTTTGTCAGGGCTGGGAATCAGAACTGCGTCGTATCCTACCGTACTACTTGTGAACAAACACCTCCTTTTTTATGGACAAGTTATATTTTTGTTTATTTCTCTTTTTGTTGAAAATGTCTTAAAACCAGATATATTTATTAAAACGCTCCACAATTTTCCGCTTCATCTTGGTATATATTGCTAGCACTACTATTTTGTAATTCAAAAGTTATAGCGAACTTGCCAGACGCAGTTCATACTGATGTACCCATCTTTTGTGTCGCTTTTTAATTTTAATTGTTTTCATTATATAATCGTTGTCAAGAGAAATAAGCCTAGTAAAGGTCCGGGAGATTTCACTCCGAATTTGATGATCTGATGATGTATTTTCTAAAAAAAAGTAATGATACTTGAAATCGACGAGTATTTATGATTACAAAATGCTTATGATTTTTATTATTATAAATGTATATATTTTATAAGTATATGTATTTTGTAAGTGAAAGGGTAAAGTCTCACTTACAAAGTCACATTTGTAAAATTGTGTAAAGAGGATATATGTTCACGATAAAATGATAATAAATTTAGTAATTCTTAAAATTCGGTTTCTTTAACTTACTCATTTTCATGCCGCGATTCACCTGTGTGTGCGTGTTCTTGCGAATGTACGTGTGTATTTGCAAGTGTTATAGATTACATATAAAACTTTAAAATATTCTTGTTCAAAGCAACTATTCCAATTTTAAACAAAATTGCTTGGATTGTTCGTTGGGTGAATGGATTTCAACGTTGTTCAACGAATTTCATTTTATGTTTCTGGTTGCCATGAAATAATTAGAACCAAAGGTTATTTTTTACATAATGCATTGTCTGTTGAATCTCATCAAGATTGGTCAAATTATAGCCCTGTTACAACCAGTTTTGCAATAAAACGAGTTTTGCAATTATTCATTGCAAAACACGTTGCGACGATGTAATTTTGTTGTATTTTTTTCACAACCATTTTTGCAATAACATTGAGTTTTTGTAATGAATTATTCTTAAATCAGATTTGATATAAAGATGACACTCTAAATATTCTTATGTTCGTCTTTTTATATAAGGATTAATATGCAGTGATTATATTCATTAAATTTGTATATATGATTTAACATCAATTTTCATTCAAATTCATCTATTCATAATGGTAAAATATATGATAATTAAGTGTTTTTTATTTAATGTCAGCATATTCACATAACAAACATTGTAGTTTTGCAAAGATTTTGGCTCAAAACTATGTGATATACTCGTACATAGATATTATCTTGTAATTTGTTGAAAACTTACACGTAATTTTGTGTAAGTGTTTACATTATTATTGCAAATCTCGTTGCTATGCCATAATCTTCATGCTATTTTGTCACAACTAGTTTTGCAATAAAAGCGAGTTTTGCAATATTTTTTTTTTATTTTATCAGATTTGATATAAAGATTATACCCTAAACATAATTATGTTTGTCTTTTTATATAAGGATTGACATGCAGTGAGTTTATTCATTTAATTTGTATAAAGTTTTATATGATTTTACATCAATAAATAATCTTAACTCATCTATTTATTATTGCAAAATATATGATACGGAGCGTTATAAAATTGACATCATGTTTACTGTGAAAATTTATTAAAATTTCACTACAATACATCGGGGAATAATTGTGTTCAGATATCAAACATTAAATCGGCTCACAATCTCGCCAGATATTATCTTTTTTCTAATACAGATTGAATATATCTCCGATTGTTCTACAAACATTGTCTTTTTAAGCTGTATGTGATTGAATTTCGCTTATTGATACTTTGGTCAAGCATCGATGCTTGGTGCTTTAAATCAGAAAACTCAGTATTGTTTTGTAGATAATTTTTGACAATACCTTCTTTAAGGTTTGACTGACCTTGACATTAATCTTTAAATGGCCTTGACCGTCGATGTCAAATTATTTAATTTTGTTTAGGTTGTTATAATTTTGTTTATGTACAGATTTTATATGTTAAACAAAACAAAACTTGTGGCCAAACGGACACGTTGAATAATCTTTAGATATGAACTTGACCATGACTGTCAATGTCAAATTATTGAATTTTGATTATATTTTCTAAACTTTGTCATCTATTTATTGAAATGATTCAAACCTGGACAAAACAACAAATGTGACCTATTTAAATAAAAGGAAACAATATTTTTCCTTTAATTTTCTTTCTTTATTTGTTAGCTTTTAGAAAAAGTCGAACATTGTCCCATCCGGCAGTGCTCTGTTTTACTTAAATTGGAACGATGTTTAGATTTATGCATTAATTGCTAAAAAGGGATACTTTATCTATTTATTTTATTTAATTCAAGTTCAAGACTATGGCTATTCTTGTTTTATTGAGTATATCTTTTACAAACTTCGAGCTGCAGCCTCCAAATTCCCAAGTTATCCTTAATTTTTATTGAAGCCTCTTGGTATTAACAGGAAAACACTCGATTTTATCTATGGCCTATGGACTGAAGTTTCAAACTGTGTCATAACTTTTGTTTTATGGACGGTAAACGCTTTTAAATCTTTGTCATCATTAAAGGTTGCATACCAGCAATCTCCATGCATTGATTTTCCCTTCATTTATCAACATCATGAGAAGTAACAGTATTTGGCATCAAGAAAAGTAACCAATGTTAGGAGTTTGATTTACCAGAATGAGTAATAATCAAAATATTAAACATTGCATTATTTACATCATGTGTATCAGACAGTTGTTATGACGCTTGTCACGATTGTCTGAATGAACCTTCAAAGTATAGAGAATGATGATCGAAACAAAAATTTCATTAGATACGAACAAACATGTATTGAGAGTGTTATAAATTGTATACAAGATCAAAATTAAACAATATTATAGATCAAAATAAAACAAACTACAAACTGACTTTAATTTCAATTGTAATTTCATTATGTTTTTAACGTTTTAAGGTTAAAACATTTGATATGGAGGTGCCAGGACGTAAGGAGAGCAGTGATGATAAGGTCAAGCAAAAATGCCAACCCTGCCTAGACGAAAATGTCCTTCATGAAGCTTACGGATATTGCAAAACATGTGGAGAATATTTATGTGATGCTTGCTACAAATATCATCGTCGACCAAAACCTTTCAAAGACCACGTTCTTGTTGAATACAAGACTATTATGTCAAACGACAGAGCCCCCACGCCTCCAGACTCAGATAAACATAAGGTTTCAGATGACCAGATTCTGTATCAAGGTGAAAAGGGTGATGAATTCAAGACAAAGAAATCTCCCCCATCAGTCCCAAGGAGAAGGAGGATATACAATACAAAATGTTATGTTCACCCTTCAGAAGATCTAAAATATCATTGCAAAACACATAAATTAATTGTATGCAGCGAATGTGCTTTAAAAGAGCATAGACACTGTGATAAGTTGGATAACATTCATGATATTTATGACTTTGAAAGTAAACGCATTAATTCAAAAATCCAATATGTAGAAGATAAAGCAGCGTATATACTAAAGCAAGAAACAAATGCCAACGAAGAATCTGACGTATCGTATGAGGAGGTTTTGTCACAAATCCGTTTAGATAGAGAGCAAGTTAACAAATATTTTGACGAAACAGAAAAACGCTTAAACAATGAGGTATATAGATTTCGAGAGGAAAGCAAGAATAGGCAGACGGAGATGCTCGATATATGTCAGAAACTTAAAAAGGTATAATAAATATATAATTATATAGAGACTCTTTCATATTTGTTGCTTTCAGGTTTTAACCTAGATGTTACATGACAAACAATCTCCAATGAGCGTGATACGGTCCCGATATAACTTAAATATGACTTGGGTAGTTTTGCTACAAGATCAGTGATTGTTATGTATTAAACCATTGAATTAATATAATGCTGACTGAGTAAAAAAATTGTCGCACTTCATCCAAACAGGCAATTAATTCTTTAAACTTTCCGTGAATTGGTTTCATATTTATTGACTTTTGTACGGACATATTTTTGACAGATAGCAAACTTTTTTCCTATTAATAAAGGATTTATTTTCATTGGTGGTATTTCATATGTGGCGGTAGTCAATGGTAAAATATGAAAATTTTCATACAACATTATGATAATAAATCATGTATGTATAGAAAAACTTGAATTTTCTGTATATTATATACATTTTTTTGACATTATGATTTGAAAGACTTTCCGAATTCTTTTTTTGTTTTGGCTGAATTTAGATGAAAGTAGTCCGGCAAGAGATCCGTAAAAAGTACGGAAAATATGTGCAGTGGACTGTGTTGAAAAAATAAAATTTTAAGGTAAAAATATGGACATTGAAATACGCATTTTATTTCATCAATATTTCTTAATAAGTATATATGTAATAAAATTGTCTATTTTTTATGATTTTGAGTGCTTATATAATATTTTTACGGTTTCAGAAAAAGGACTTAAAAAGTGATACCAATTTGTCAAAAATTGAGAGATACATATCAATGACCGAGGAAGAGAGCAAAATAGACAACTTAAGTGGAAATCTCAAGGGAATATTCGGTCTCCCGCGTTTACGTGTTTCTTATAAATCACAGTACCAAATGCTTGATTCGGAAAACTTGGTTGTCGAGAAACATCAAGGGGAAATTGGTAGACGTGAACTTAAGCTTCTTAAAAAGGTAGATATAGCAGGGGGAAAGCAGTCGTGCTCTATAACTGATATAGCAACACCATCAAATGAAAGATTTCCAGTGATACTTGTAGATTATGTAAACCAAAGACTGATTATTATTTCCGATGAATATTCAGTGGTATATCAACAGGTTGAATATGTACCTTGGAGTATCACATTTATTAGCTATGATAGTCCAAATGGTGAAATAGCAATTACTTGTCCAAAAGAACACAGGATATTATTTTTTACTATCTGTCAAAAGATTTCTGAAGGTAAGCGTTCATCTATAAAAGTTGAATATTGTTTAGGAATCAGATACCATAAGTCTGAAAACGTGCTGATAGTGTCTGTCACTAATAATGGAACTGCTAGCATTCAGTGTTGGTCACTAAATGGTCATTTAGTGAGAACCATTGCTTCTTTCGGTTACGGCATTGACAGAATAAACCTTACAAATGATGATCAAATCATTTTTGCTTCTCGTTCAAAGCACTGCATACAGTCGTGTGATATGTCTGGCAATATTTTAAGAGATTTTCCATATATAGATGACAATATGTTTGGGCCATATGCTGTAGCCTCTGATCAAAGTCAGTCAATCTATGTATGTGGATTCAAATGCTTGCGTGTGGTTTCAAGAGAAGGGGAATGGAATGAACTTCTGACAAGAGATGATGGATTTTCACCACAGTCACTCCTTGTCAGTGAAAGGTCACATAGGCTTTACATTGGACAAGCAAATGAAAAGGGGTGTACTGATTTTCTCATTTTTAAATTATGAAAGATGACAAACTAAGACCTTTAAAAAGCAACCAAAGTGTGGCTAATTTTTTTATTTTTTTTTATTTTTTGCTGTCTAATTTTAGACCTGCTGACAGTTCCATATCAAAGAAGCAATAAGCAAATGAATATTCTATTCTTCTATAAGAAATGCAGATAGGTTAAAGCTGTATTAATTAATTTATTTAGAACATTTTTCAGGTTCTCGTATAAGAAGTATCTAATCATGTTAAACCTGATTTTGAGTATGCAAAGTACTTGGATATTTTGCCTTTTAATTTAAGATGTTATTTAACACAATGTTGTCTTCACATCCTTTGAAAATTCAAACCCGTCAATACGGCACACAGAAAATCGGATGAAATCAACGTCATTGTATAAACTGTGATGAGCACGACATTGAAGACGAATATCATTTTATTTTGATTAGCCCATGTTATGTTGATTTAGGGAAAATGTACATAAAAAGTATTATTATGTTAAAGCAAGCATGCTTTAAAAGTGATAAAAGAACAATTCCCACGAATTTAGCACTAGTTCTTGCTATGACGCTTCTTATACATGTATTTATGTCCATCCTCTTAGAATAGAAAATGATGGATATTGTATGTTTAACATAGCATGTAAATGTATTAAATGTAAACGTGCTAATGTATGTGTCATTGCGATTCGATAATTATTAACAATGGTTTATCTTATGACTGAAATATGTTTACTGTAAATTTTGTAAATATGTTACGATGATCTACCTTTGGTACCACTCTAATGAAGAACATATGTTCTGTTCTGACTATAATAGATATTAAAGGTCGATTTTTTCCAAGTGCACTGTTTATATAATGCTACAGTGAAAAATAATAATAGTAATCACTGAAGTCAATAATTATAATTTTTAGGTTATGCATTCGTTCTTTCATTTCTTCATTTATTGGTTAGAATTAAATGACATCATCACGGACGCGGAATTTGGTTTTAAATCAAAGTACAATACCATACACTAATAGTTAGGTCGTCACTTTAGATGAAAATTGTTAAACATGGAGTCTACGGCAAGCTACATCAAATATTACGTTCCATGAATAAAATTGTGAAATCTTGTGTGCAAAGAAAATTCTTGACTTTTTATCCAATAAGCAACGTCTGTATGGAGAATCAGGTCGATTTCCACTGATAATAAAAATTGAATCGTAGTAATAAAATGTATTTTCTGATACTTTGCTGAAAAATAGAAAATTGCATTTCAAATACAATAGGCCTACTATCACGGCTGTTGGCATTTAAGTAACAGTTCTAACAATGGAATTCATAACATGTGATAGACTTGTTAAACGAAAGTGGATTTAACGGAGTCTTGATGTTTCCATATTCTGTTAAAATTGATACTCGGACTCTTTTTATAGTATACAGAATGAGCCATGCTGAAGCTTTCAGTCTATAAGAAATTGAAAAATGTGTAAAATGTCAAGATATGCATTATTTTGAATAACTTTAAGTACAGATGCGTTATCATAAAAATAATACGTTCATACGAGTGAAGAAGGAAGACAGTCAGCCAATCCAATTCAAAGATGTTATAATATGTTATGTTACTGGTTTATGTTTTGTTATTTTTTTTATTTAAAAAAAAATGTCATTATTTTGCTTTGGCTAGTTTTGATATATGAAATGCTGACTTCATATTTTACTTGGTATTTCATGTATCTATTAGTGTATTGTCTACTTTTTAAATTATTATTTCATCATTACAAGATGGAAGCTGGTTTTAACGTAATTTGTATCATCACACTATACATGCATATAAATTTAATATTTAAAAGTGAAAAAATGCAAGGACTTTCATTTATTTTGATATTATTATTACTTAAACGAACATAACATATATCAGTCACTGCTATATTCTTATTTTTTTAATACAGTGTTTGTTATTGTCTGTTCAAACTGTTGGTATATGTAACATTTTCTACAATATGCTAACTTGTTATATTATATCTGATTTAAGATAAGAATATACTTAAGACATACATTGGACATGCATAGCACATTATATAATATAAACTTTCAAAATTTACTCATAAGGTTCAGTCTATTATACGAATATTACTTTGATATCGTTTCATGGATTTACCACTATACCACTATCTTCTTCTTCTTTAATATTGAATACACAAGTGGTAGTAGCTTTTATAACTGGCTAAAAAATTGGCGCAATAACTGTCCAGGAAACATTGAGCTCAATCTTAAACAGAACTTCCCAAAAGGCTTTTTCCCAAAAATACCTAAATCCGAAAGTAAAACACTTTGAGATAATGTTTAATGATAGAAAAATTCATGTTTTAGTCATTGTAATAAAGGTACCGGAATATGAAAGTTGTTTTTCCTTCATTCTATAGTACTAATAAGCCGACTTCATGAATCATTTTTGTAATTTGTTTTATCATCACGACGCTATTTTTGAGCTTGTTATATACGGGAACTAACAAATTATGGCAGATGTTTAATATTTACTTAAAGTGACATCCAATGGTTAATGGTCTGTGAACAGGTAAAAATCATAATAACATGACATTTTGTCATAATTGGTTCAATTTTACATTTTACTGAGAAAACATAATCAATAAACCACATGACCAACGGAAATGCCTATGCATATCCTTTAGAATGTATCTGAAATGTTCAATTCTTAAAACGAGTGGGGCAGTCTTTTTATATTTTAGAGCGTCTATATATTGAATCATAAATATCCATTGTTAGTCAATCATCCTTCCTTTTAAAAGTCAATCTTTTGAATACTAATTTATCACTTATTCAACTCAACTTGACAGTGAAAAAATGAGCATAATGTCAATTTAACGGTTATTAAAGGGATTCCACTGAGGTTTAAAAGCCTAAAAACATAACCCTTGAATTTCTTACATGAGCTGGGACACTTTAAACAGAAATATGCAAAGATAATTAAGAAATATACTTTGAAATAAATTGAAAATCGTATTTTTATGCTTTTCTTAGCCCGATTTAAGTAAAAAGCGTTTAAATGCTTTTCATTTCTGGTTTTTTTTACAATTTGAAACATTATTTTGGAAAAACGAAGTGCGCGAATGATCTGAAATTTTGCACAAAGATTAGTGGTCTATCCCTACATTAATTAGTTCATTTATCTGCAAAAATATTTTCAGTACTATCATGTAAAAAAACCTCAGTGGAGTCCCTTTAAACGAGACTGAAACTTTATAAAGAGTTGTAAAGTATGCTTGTTACTTGACAAAGATATC